TCGTTTTGCAACCTTTGATATGGTAACCAGTTACCATATTCGGGTAACCGGTTATCCTGCGATAACAGTGACAAATTCTGCAACTTTCAGGTTACGACATTCCATGTTTCCACTCCCAAAAATCATAGTTTTTACATCAAAATTCATCTTTTTAACATGTTAATTATTCATCAACATTCATCTATCAATTCTAACCAATTCATATTATTCAATCACATCACAACACACCAAAATCACCAAAATTCCATCAACGGAAATAAAGCCCAAAAAAATAACCAAACATGGAGAAATCAAAACATACGATTATACGACCTAAATTCTACCATACCCCATCATTAGGAAAACCCTTATAGAGTCAGAATCCCCGCTTACCTTAGGTTCTTGGTTGATTCTTGATTCCTACGGATGAACTTCTTGTCCTAGCTTCCTAGTGATCTTTCTCCTCTTCTTCCTTCTACGCTTCTCTGTCTCTGTTTCTATGTACAGACTCTTTTTCCTTATTCTTACTCTAATATATCTCAATAATTAATTATAACCTGTAGTCTTCCCAATTAAATAATTATTTAATTATTATTATAAAATAATAATTATTATTATAATAATATAATAATAGTAATAATCCATATTATTCTACACACCCATATGTTTCTACACAATTAGCCAAACACCCCCATAACCTCAATTTCTATAATTCTAAGGCATCTAGTCCCCAAAAACGTATCGCACCACATCATAAATTCCACCAACTCATATAATTTCACCGCATCATCTTATATTTAATTAAAATAAATTTTAATTAATTCAGGATGTTACAACTCTCCTCCACTTAGAATATTTTCATCCTCGAAAATTACCTGAAGCGATTAACTATGGATAAGCCTCCCACATCTTGATCTCTAGATCCCACGTCACATTCTCTCCAGTAGCTCCTCCCCAGATTACTTTCACAAGAGAGATCTCTTTGCCTCCCAGCTTCTTCACTTCGCGATCCTCGACCCTCACAGGTACAACCTCAACAGTAAGATTGTCCCGCACGTGTACATCATTCATCAGAATTACATGCGAAGGATATGAAATATATTTCCAGAGTTGTAACACATGAAACACATCATACAAATTTGATAAGTTAGGTGGAAAGACCACTCTATAAGCAACACTGCCCGCCTTTTCTAAAATCTGATACGGACCAATAAATCGAGAAGTCAACTTCTTTGACTTTAGAGCACGACCCACGTCGGTTATTAGTGATACTCTCAAGAATACATGGTCTCCCTCTTGAAACTCGAGACCCTTCCTCCTCTTATCATGGTAACTCTTCTGCCTACTATGCAAAGCTTTCATCCTTTCTTGGATTACCTTTACCTTCTCCGTAGTCTCTCTCACTATCTCGGGTCCGAGCACCACATGTTCACCCGATTCATATCAACACAAAAGTGTTATGCACCTCCGACCATACAGTGCCTCCGTAGTTTAATTCTAATTCTAAAAATAAATTAATTAGTTAAGAAAAATGTTTTTAGCATTTTGTTTATAAAATAAATAAGGTGAAAAAATAAAATAAAATAAAAAAATTATTTAAGAAAATGTATTTTTTTAATATATTTTTGGTTTAAATAGAAATAATAAAATAAGTAAATAAAATATATAAAGAAAATAGAAATATTTGGTTAGGTGTTAAAAAATAGAAAAGGGGGTTAAAAGTTAGCAAAAGGGAGTCCAGGTCCAAGTCAAATTTTTGTGTGAATCAGAAATGGATTAAAAAAAGAATGGGCCTGCGTATGAATAAGTAATCAAGGGGGGTGAAACATAGCAAACAAACAAATGGAAGGCCAAAACCAAGGAGCCCCAGACGCTTGTTTGATAATCCAGTGAGTGAGGCTGGCTGAAGGTCCATCATGGGGGCGTGTGTTGGAGCATTGGATCAATTGATGATGATATCATAGGGAATTAATATGAGGCTTCATGGTGAGCGTGCATAGCCTGAATGCACTAGATCTGCAAATAAATAATAAGAAAAATCAAAAGGGTACCCCTGGGGCTCGAACTCAGGTCCCAAGGATGAACAGGCGCGCGCTTTACCACTAGGGTGGCTATACATCCGTTAGTTTATACAAAACCATAAATATATATTATAAACATGTTTCTGAAGACATGTTCATCTTCTTCCTCGCGCCAACCATGGACAAGGAAATTTGAAAACTGTATCTCTCTCATTTCTCCACTATTTGCAAAAGTATAAACATGAAAGTTATGTATTTTTTCACTATGAATCCAACCATGTAAATTATGTAAGCTAAAAGTCAAAGATAAAGATTAATTTTGTTGGCCCCAAACTGAAACCTAACTTTTTTCAGAAAGTTCAAATCTAAAATTCTCTACACACAGTCAATATAAATGAAAACTATGGACATGGTTAGCTTTAGGGAAATGATATCTACATTTTTACTTCAGAATGTATGCACAAAGGATGTTTGTATCAAGATATTGAAGTTAGGAAACTTACCTCTTGCAGATGGATTCGTGTATGGAGTTTGAGCAAGCTTTGAGGTGTCCTAAGAACCCGTTTAGCTTGCCTAGACCTTCTCGAGTGTATTCCAACTCCTACTTTGCTTTAAGGATGGCTGAAACTCCCTACTCAAGTCAAGTTGTAAGCTTCAGTTTTGAAAATGGTGGATGATGATGGAGTGATTACAGTTAGGAAACAGGGACTTGGATCACTTGTATATGAGGTATGCAAGGTGTTTGGATGAAGCTCAAAAAATGGAGTTTTTGGCTAGTTCTGGCTTGTCAATGCTTGAGGGTGTTTGAGGGCTTATCAACTCGTGTCTTTGCTTGCAATAGACTTGTATATTTGTATAGAAAATATTTGAGATGATTTGCCCAAAGGATTTCTGAGTTCTAGGGTTATGGCTAGGTTGCTTGATTTTGAAGAAAAGTGAGAAATGTGGTTTCAAGGTAGAAGGTACAAGCATGTAGAGTGGTTGAACACTTTAAACATGTTGCTTCTGATATTTTAGATTGAGTGTGTGAAGAGGAAACAATTTTGAGTCTCAATAAGGGTTGACATTTTACAAAAGCATGCTTTTCCAAAATAGAAGTCTTGCCTTTCTTCTCAAAATAGCAAATTTTATTGGATAATGCTTGGATCAAGTGGACAATAGATCAAAAGCTTGTGAAATCAACTGATTATGGATAGATTTAGATGTTTAGATGCCTGCAAAGCAAGATTACAAGGCATGTCTAAGAGATTTGAATTCGTGTTCGTCATGGAAATGACCTATAATTCAAGAATGAAGGTCCAACTTCTTTTCTTCGATTCTCTTAGCTCAAACATGATCTTTTCAAGTTCTTAGACATTTTGGAAATCTTGAAACATCCTCTACAACTTTCATGTTGACCATTTTTGCTGAATCAAACTGGAACTATCTGAAAATTGGCCAAGAAGTTAGGTCAAAATCCTGACCAAACTAGGTCAAAATTTCACTAGTCTTTTAGAAAAAGTGCATGACTTCATGAATTTATAACTCAAAATCCAAGCATTTTTAGGACTTGATTAGTAAATCAAAGTTGTATACATCACCAAGATCTACAACTTTCATGTTGAAAGTTTTCTTTGAATCATCTTGCATCTTGGTGAAAAAATGTCATGAAGTTATTAAATTATCATGTTTAAAACACTTAGAAAAAATTCTAAGTCTTGAAAAGTTTGACTTTTCAAATTGACTTTTGACTTCCTTGGTTTCTTGATGATCAAATTTCATATTTTTGAATTTATTGATGAAATATGATCTTTGAGATTCAAATTAGATCAAAAGTCAAAGTTTGACTTTTGGTGTACAATTGACTTTTTATCAGTTGATCAAATTTCATCTATCAATCCATTGATCTTGAGGAATATTTTGGAACCATGAAATTAGGTTAACATGTGGTATTTGAATCCTTGAGATTATGCTTTAATCCATTAGATCATGTCTTAGGTCAAAAATCATTGATCAGTTAAAACCCTAATTTTGACCATTTTGCCCTTTTGGTGAATTGAGTACTTTACTTGAGGAATTGTGATCAACATTTGATAAATTGATGCATATGACTTCAAATTGTTGATATTGGTAAAAAATATTGAAGTTTGACTGTAGGTTGACCATAATTGACTTTTTATTCAATACAGTTGATTTTCAATCATCTGGTCAATTGACTGAGCAAAATTATGATTTAAGACTTGAGACTTGACATGGGTATTCTTGGAGGTCTATAACGATCCATGAAAGTCATTTGAGACATCAAAAGTCCAATTGTCCTTGAGAAAACCAAAACCCTAATTTGAGGCCTCAGTGTTAGGAGATGAGTCTGTCTGATCAAATATTGGAGAAACCTTGGGCATTTGAGATCTTTTATGAGAAATTCCTTGAGAAAAGGGAGGTAAAATTTTGGGGTACAACACAAAATATACGATTATACGACCTAAATTCTACCATAACCCATCATTAGAAAAACCCTTATAGAGTCAGAATCCCCCCCCCCCCCCCCTTACCTTAGGTTCTTGGTTGATTCTTGCTTCCTACAGATGAACTTCTTGCCTTGGCTTCCTAGTGCTCTTTCTCATCTTCTCTCTTCTACACTTCTCTTTCTTTGTTTCTACGTACTGACTCTTTTTTCTTATTCTTACTCTAATATATCCCAATAACTAATTATAACCTTAGTCTTCCTAATTAAATAATTATTTAATTATTATTATAAAATAATAATTACTATCCTAATAATATAATAATAGTAATAATCCGTATTATTCTACACACCCTTATGTTTCTACACAATTAGCCAAACACCCCCATAACCTCAATTTCTATATTTCTAAGGCATCTAGTCCCCAACAATGTATCGCACCATATCATAAATTTCATCAACTCATATAATTTCACTGCATCGTCTTATTATTTAATTAAAATAAATTTTAATTAAATCGGGGTGTTACATCTTCCATTGCGAAAAACCATCCTCCCATGTTCCTGCATTTGCAACGCAACCGTTTTTGTCAGCTGCCTCCTCAAAAGATTATGGGAAAAGCTCTTTTCATGTTTGATTACCAAGCCATTTGTAATGCTAGAAGGAAATTCCAAGACCATTCTTCAACCTTCATAAAATATTAGTAAAAATATTCAGATTGACTCCATTCTTAATCTCCACTTCTAATAGGTCCCTCTGCCATATTGAATCACCTCTCTTGGCTGATCTTCCATTTTCATTAAACATCTCCAGCCCCGAATTAAGGTGCCCATGCCATAAAATACCACTCCAAAACGCGTTATTCTCTTTCACAATTCTCCACTTTCATTTAAGTAACAAAGCCATGTTAAAAATCTCAAGATTCTTAATGTCGAGACCCCTCACTTCCTTAGATTTACACACATTTTCCAAACTTATCCAATGAATAGTCCTCTTAATATCCAATCCTCTCCACAAAAAATTAGCTTGAACCCTTCTAATTTTGTTCAAAACCTTTATCGACGCTTTATAGAAGGATAACGTATAAATAGGAATTGAATTCAACACTATATTAATCAACACTAACTTGGCTCCCAAGGACATAAAATTGTTGTTCCAAGATGACAACCTAATTGCTATGTTGTTGATGACGTCCTTCCACATGTGCAGTTTTCTCGGACTATCTCCTACTTTCATACCGAGAAATTTGAAAGGAAAATGGTATTCACAACAAGACAAAAATGATGCAGTCGTATTCATGCTCCTCTCACGCAAATTGATTTCATAAATCTCCATCTTAAAGAAGTTCCCTTTTAAACATAACACCATTTTGAACCCTATCAAAACTGCTTTCAAACCCCACGGATTTTCCGGTCTTCCATCACCTAAAATGACAGTGTCGTCTGCAAATTGTAAAATATCAATCAAAATATCATCATTAATATGAAAACTCGAGCACTTTCAACATCCTCAACCTTATTCATTAAATTGGTTAGCCCCTCCAAAGCCATCACAAACAAAAAAGAGTAATAAAGGATCGTCTTGCCGCAATTCCCTCTCAACAATGAAGTCCTTGATTGCACTCCCATTAACTAAGACCAACATTGTGCTATTAAAAGCACAAGCCTCCATCCACTTTTTCCATTTAGACCCAAACCCCATATTGAAGCAAAATCTCACGTAATTCCAACTCACACTATCGTACGCCTTCTCATAATTAACTTTCAGAACCATACAACTCCTCTTCTCTTTTTTTGCCAAGTCAAGAACTTCATTCACCACCAGCTCACCATCTAAAATGTTCCTGCCCGAAACGAAAGCCGATTGATTTCTAGAGATCGAGTTACCAATCATTCTCTTCAATCTCGAAGCTAACAGTTTAGCTAAAATTTTATACAGACAACCTACCAAACAAATGGCCTATACTTCGATAGTGATTACATATTTTTAATTTAAAGGATCAAGGTAAGAAACGAAACAATGCAACCTTTAGTAAGTTTAGCCTTAGAATGGAGAGAAAATTTTGATTATTTTAATTATTTATTTTTTATACTCCATCCGTTTCAAAATAAGTGTCACATTTAGAAAAAAAAATTGTCCCAAAATAATTATCACTTTATATTACCAATGTAATTTTATATTTAATCTTCCAATTGTACTCTCTAATAAATACTCTTAATTTATTGTTTTCTCACATAACATTAATGTTTTGAGTACACCAATAGTAAATTAAGATAAATTGATAAAATTATTATTCTCTTTTTTTCATTTATTATTAGTTCTTAATCTATGTGAAATAATCCATTGTGACAAATAATATGAGACAGAAGAAGTATTACATAATAGTTTTTTTATTAATTTGATAAAGTCACTCTTTACTCTTTCATTTATTTTTTTTATCTGCGTGAAATGATTCATTACGAAAATAATGAGACGCAGAGGATATTACATAATATTTTTTATTAATTTGTTTAAATCACTATTCTTCCTTTTTTATTTATTATTGTTGGTCAAAAATTAAAAAATATATATTAAAATTACTTTCCTTTTGTAATTTATAGATTGTTTTGGATGAAAAACTAATTTGATTACATCTCTATAATTTATCTCTCTTCTACAGCACCGCCGTCGGCCGCTGCCGGAATCCTAACCGTCGCGCCGTCTTCTTATCGCTCGTTGAGTACGCTCTCTTCTTCCCATTTACGGTTTTCAATTTTTTTTTCAATTTGTCTTTATAAAACCCTAGATTTATGAATGAATCTCAATATGTTTCTTTTTCCCCAAAGTTCATGCGTTTTTAGGGTTTTAGAATGATTAATACTCTTTAAGGTTTTGTTTGGATGGGAAATTGAGCGAATCCGATTCACTTTACAATTAAGCGATTCTTGAAGTTTTTCTCTTCCCAATAACTTAATTGGAAAGTGTATTGTAGTTATGGTGGGAAAGAGGCCAAACATTTTGGTGACTGGTACACCAGGAACAGGAAAGACAACCACGGCAACTGCTCTGGCTGAAGCCACTCAGCTCCGCCACATCAATATTGGAGAACTCGTCAAAGAGAAGAATTTGCATGATGGTTGGGATGACGAGCTTGATTCTTACATTCTTAATGAAGACTTGGTAAGCTACCGGTTTATATACTTGAGATTGTTCTTTTATGTGTATGTTTGGAGGATTGATTCTGGATGTGTAAAATTGATTTTGACATCTCTGAAGTTTATTGTTCAACTCACTTTTGCAGAAATTTATTCAAACATAATTCCCTTTACCTTCAAGTTACTTATACCCATAATCAATTCACTTAAAATCAATTTCCTTCACCGTATAATATCCATTTTATTTTACAGAACTTCAACTTGATCCTTTGAGTTGTCGTTTTAATATCCATTGCCTGACCTTGCATTTGAGGTCCGGTCGTTTGTCCCTACTTGATAATCCTTAGATTCGCATTCCTTGTTGCTCAATGGTAACGGTCTGTCTTCTTTTACGACGTCATGCTGCCCTTGCTCTTGAAGATGTGATAATCTGTCCAGATTTCGTGAAACTGCATGTGATGCTTCCTCGAACTGTGTATCAACATTTTGTTGTAATTTTATTCTTGTTTGTGGTTCCATGATGCCTTGCCTATGAGTCTCGTCCTTGGTCTGTTGTGATTCCTTCGGAATATGATTTGGCGCCATATAGCTCTTGCGTAGCAGAATTTTAACAATCCACTATTTTCTGCTATTCACGATTGACAACATTGATGAGATATCTTTCATGATTTTTGTAGGTATGTGATGAACTCGAGGATGTTATGGAAGAGGGAGGGAACATCGTGGACTATCATGGCTGTGATTTTTTTCCCGAGCGATGGTTTGATTACGTGGTTGTACTTCAAACTGATAACACCATTTTGTTTGACCGTTTAACCAAAAGGTACGGGAGCACTTGTTTCCGTTGTCGAATATTGATTTTGTGATTCTATTGTATGTTTTCAGCCTTTCAGAGAGCATTAACTTACTTTCTTCATTTCTGTGACAGAGGGTACAAAGAATCGAAGCTTTCCAACAACGTCGAATCTGAAATCTTTCAAGTTTTACTTGAGGAGGCTAAAGAAAGTTACGCCGAAGACAAAGTTATTGCGTTGAAAAGCAACACTATTGAAGACATTGATAGTAATGTTGCAACTCTGACAGATTGGGTCAGAAACTGGTCTCTATAGAGTATGATGAAAAGTATTAAGGCAGGGTTTTACATATTTGAATCTGCAATATTTTTGATATTAATGTTATGGGTTTTAAATTAGACAGCTCAAAAGTAGTGAATTGTGGTGGGTAGGAACGGAAGGTTTAAACATACTGGATGGAATATGGGTTGGAAGGTTTTTACAGGTATCTGTAATTTTGCTCATCCGGCTTATAGAATCCAAATTTACTTGTTCAAATTCTAGAATTTCAAAGATTTTTTTAAGTAAACATGTTCTAAAATTCAAAAGACATTTTTGAGATATTTAAAGGGTGAGAAAAGAAATTCTCTAAAGTGATCGCCAATTTCAAAAGATATAATAGCATCTTCATATAATGTAGACATGTTTGCGTAAACCATCTCACTTGAACTTGGCCATGTAAAGATGATGGCTAGAATATTTGAGTTCCTTTAAAAAAAATCATATCATCGATTAAAAGTGATGCTCACAGTATTACTTTGGGATAGAATTAGAAGAAATATATTGTTATATTTTGTATAATAAAATAACACTTTTTATTATTATAAATATTTGTTAAAACAAGACTCATTTTAGATTAAATAGACTATAATCTATACCATAAATATAAGAAAATATATTCTATTTAACAATTTAAATGAGCTGGGATAGCCTTTCTGATTATCTGGAGTAATTTGTTTTATAGTTATATTGTTGTTGAGAATTTATATTTATATGCACCAATGGTGCAAAAGTATTTTACACCAATTAGATTTTGAAAAGAATTTGATTTCATTTATTAATTCCAAAAAATGTATAACCCTCAATAAGATCCCCTATAGTAATTGTACAATTCAGCAGTTTATATATAGTCCTTATAGTAGTAGAGAAAAATAGACACTGACTGAAAAAAAATGGAGATTACAAGTTTTAACAAAAACATGTTGATGATGATGATGATGATGATGGCTATAATGTGGAACATAGCAAAATCTGATCTTCACTATGTTGAAGGAAGTAAATTTAGATGGGTAGCTGGTGTTAACTTGACACAATGGTCATTGAATCAACAATTTCTTGTTCATGATTGGCTATGTAAGTTTTCTTCTCTTATTTTTAAGATTAAGTTTCATGTCAATTTCAAAGATAAATTTTTTTTGGATCATACATTTTTAAGGACTAAATTGATGATTCACTAATCCACAAGTGATTGATTAGTAATATCAAACACAAGCTTCCATGAAGGCTATGTGACACCATTACTAGTATTTTCTTTTCTTTTCTTTTCACCATGATTGACTTGTTTTTCTTATATACTTTGCAAGACTTTGGATATGATAGACACACTTTCAATGTGTTAGAGGTGAACCAGACAAGCTATGAAAAGTGCATAGATACTGGATTCATCAAGAACATATCAACAGGCGCCGGACGTGACGTTTTCCAGCTGACGGAGGCGAAGACCTATTACTTCTTAAGTGGAGGAGGTTACTGTTGGCAAGGGGTCAAGGTTGCTGTTGGTGTTTCTGACCATCTTCCACCAGCTCCTGTGCCTGCTCCCAAAGAAAGTGGTGCTTTTTCAATTTCTTCTACCTTTTAGATTATACCCTTTGTACCATTTGATTCATAGTTATAAAAAGAAGTGAGATATTGCAAAACATGAACATATCAACATTAAATAATCAAGCATGAATCATTATCAATTGCATCAGAATCAGAAAGAGCTAAAACTTTTTAGTGGCATCTATTTTTGTTTTGGTTTAAGGTTTACAAACAAATTATCGGTATATCTAATAGGCGTTCATGATTCACAGCATGGAATTGTGATGTGACATGTGAGTAGCTTCTACTACTCTATAATCAAGTCAATGCCTCACCTTCAATGACAAGAATTTCTCCATTCTTGAAGCACCTTGTCTTAAACTTTGCGATGAATTACATTGACAAACACTTGAGGAGAAACAAAATAATTATCAATTCAAAAACGAAGAAGACATTAGACAGTAATTTCAAGCCTTACAGATATTGATTTTTATTTTCTCTTAGATTAGTTGCTTTTACTTCACCAACAACAATCTGATCTCCAATATAGACGCTACTGTATCACGAATTTTCGTTAGACGCCAGTGTAAAACTATTTTACACCGACAATCTCTACTAAGCTAATTATAATTTCACATCTTATCCTTTTCGCGTCATCCTTCATTATTTTTCATCATAGTTTTCTATCATTAGCAAGTGTCAAAAACTCTAGTTGACTAAAACAAGTTATCAAGGGAAGGACTTTTGAATCTCATAAAAAACTAACAACATGAACACAAATTGTTTTTAGTTTATTTTCAGAAGCTCAGATTTTTGTTATAAAAATAATTGACGTGGGCTTATTTTGAAAGTAAATCGCCGTGGGATAGCTACCTATAAAAAGCAACTCTCTAGCAGGGGAAAAAAGAAAACAACATAACTGAACGAGAAGAGGTCGGCCAAGATGGAACTTACAAAATGAGATGAGATGATATGAGGAAAAAGTGAAGCAACAAGCATCCCATGTACGAATGGACCTTCAAATCCCACATTTCGAGCAGCAACCAGATCAACATGCAAAGGATTAGAATCATGATTGACTTTGGAGTACTGAAGAACATCTTCCTGAGTAAAAACCCTTGCTTTTTTCAAAACATGGCCAAGTTTAAGTACAAGTGAAGGAGTTACAGATGAAAAACACCTCAGACTCGGATATTGAAGTTTTCTACTAGAATGTAAGCATTCTTGCAGAGGCTCAACTCAACAAAGCAATGCCCTGATTACCTAGAAAAACAATTTTACAATACTAACATTCCTAAGTATCTAATCGTACCTGACTAGAAGGGATTGTCAAATTCTTCAAGCTTCGAGCTGAACAGTAGTGAGAAGTGAAGTGGGGGTACCTGCAAGATACTTCAATGTCAAAGTGAGGTTCGAAGCTAATGCAAGTAAGTGAGTATGAGAGTGTGAATGAATCAATATCTGACCCTCTCAAGTGAGAGAATATTTATAGCCCCCAGTGCTAAGCCAAAGTCTTCAATGTTGGGCCACGATGAAGTCCAACAACAAAGACTATCAAGGCTTACGTGTGTATGGAGTCTAGCACATGGCCTCCTCCCTGGTCAACTGCTCCGAGAGAATAGGTGTTGGACCCGTGATTCCCCGAGGGAAGTTATGATGACGATATGGACACGTGGGCAACGTCTTCCTAGCGGAAACGTGGGGAAATGCCCAACGATCTCCAGCTTGGACTGCATGCCTTTGGGCCTTGGGAAAAGGCGCTGGATTGGACCTCCCCAGCGATGGGGCAAGCGCTGGCCCAATCCAGAACAGGAGCCCCCCAAGTTATTTCCCTTAGGTGAAAGAGTGATGACTTAAGCTCAGCTTCACTGTCGGGGAGTATTCACCCGAAAGGGAAATCGTAACCTTCCATCGGGGATAATTTGTTGACCCGTGTCAGGGATCCCGAAAGCACGCGAACTACACGGCCTACTAGATCATTTGTCTGTTTGGTGCCCGTTAGGAATATGCAGGATGCTAGAAGTTTTCCCGAGTTTTCTTCTTCGACGTGCCCGTTCACAGGGTGTCGTGACGATGTCGAGCGTTACCTCGCCCCCGCGAGCGAAATGTGATAAATGTGCCCATATGTAAGGTTTAGTCGCGGGGCCGCGCGTTTGCCTGTTATTAAGCGTGCAGCGTCTGTTGGATTAAAATATCCAGCGTCAACCTTAGGGATTCGAAGGGCTTAACATCCCCCCATGGGCGCCTACACAGGTGTGTTAGGTGGGCCAGGTAGGCCCCTTGTTGGATTCACTATAAGGAAATAGAGTAGCACCTTGGCTACAAGCAATTGCTTTTAGCGCAGTGGTAGGCGCTTGATCCTACAAGTGGTATCAGAGCTGAGAGATACTCCCCCTGAATTTATTCTTCCCTTTTTGATTCCAAGAGTTCTTCAGGATCAGATCTTTTTGCCTTTCTTTGAACATCAGAGTATCAGAGTCTTTGACTATCAGAAGCTTTAGTTCAGCATATCAGAGCAGAGCTTCAGATCAGCGTATCAGAGCTTTTCTTGTCAGAGTTTTGCTTTGGGTCAGAGTATCAGAGCGGATCAGAGCTTCAGAGCTTTTAGTCTTCAGAGTGTCCAGGAGCTTCCTTGTACCTGTATACTTAGGCAAAACAGAAAACATTTTCAAGTATAATAGAGTTAGAATGTTCGAGAATTTCTGTCTTAGTAATCCGTTATTGTTTAAAATATCATTCTTGTTCTCCCCCTTTTTGTCAGCAATCAAAAAGTGTAGGTGATGTGCTAAAACAATTAAGATCAGAAAAACTTGTCATATTAAAAGGTTCAGAATCAAACAAAACATATTCAAACAATACATCAGAAAATCAAAGAAAACATGAAAATGACATGAATGAAAAAAAAACTAAGGTTGGGGAGGAAAGCGTGTGAACAGGTTCTCCAGCATGGCTTTGATCTGATCAGCAGTCTCATTCTGCTTGTGCACCATGCTGACAACAGTGTCAATCTTACTATCCTGCACATCCATTCTTTCTTTCATCTTCTGGTCATTTTCATCCATCCTCTGCTGCAGACGCATGTCATTCAGCTTCAGCTCTTCCAGAGTCTGCCTGTCCAAGGCAGCTTGAGAAACATCAGAAGCAGGGAGCTTCTGAGAGCTTTCTGCAACATCTTCTGCTTGACTTGCTTCAGCTTGAATGGTCTTGTCTTCTTCTGGTTGCACCTTTGGAGCTAGCTGTTTTGCAGACCAAGGTTCACTATCCAGAGGGAGCACGGCTTCCTGAGGCAGCTGGCTTTCAACTTCCTTCAGCAGCTTGCTGAAGTTCTGTTGTGCCTGCTCATAGTTGACATCCTGCAACTTGAGGGCTTCAGCACGTACCCAAATTCTGAATTGTGACCAGAGATGGTCAGAGGCAGCTGGGTCAATAATTTCAGGACAGACTTGTTTCAGAGAAGCAATCCACTGCTGCACACC